ATATAAACCATTTAGCTACCTGTATTTGTAATCATATCATCATGTGTATTATACATGTATATTAACTCAAAAATTTGAAACTTTAAATGTTTATATCTAATAAACTAATAAAGTTATATTAAAAATTCAAATGCCATTTACTATTTAATTAAAAATCCAAACATTTTATTATATTCAAAATATGTGTTCCCATTTAAAAGACAAAAAGACAAAGTTGACACCCTTACAAGGCATAAGGGATGAACATAAAAAGTTTTAAATAGTTAATAATTTAAGAATAATGTGTAACTAAAGAAAACCAAAAATAATGTTTAAATTATATTTATTCTACAAGTAAATGAGTGGGTTATGATAAAAAAATCAGTCTGTATACTGTAGTATAGTTATCATTTGTAAAGCTGGAAGTAAAACATTTTTGTAATGTTTGGTTTAATTGTAATTTCCTGATCTATTGTTACTAGACCAGGAATTAAATATTTATAAACATTTTTGAAAATGATAGTATTATTAATTTTGTAAAAAGAAGAAAAACAAAATATTTTAGTACATAAGACGAAATGGAATGAATCGTAGAGGAGAGAGGACCTCGGGATCACCGAAGGTAATCTCTTTTCGCGCAGTACGTTTATGACATTAAGTTTTCATTTTGTGTATTGTTTTATTGTGTATATTTATTTTGTATGTTTTGCATTGTTTAATTATATCTATAATAATTACATTTGAGTTATTATTAAACTTTTATTACTTTAAGTTAAGACACTAGGGTAGTTTCTTTTAAGATTTCTTTTAAAGTTTCAAATTTCAAATTACTTGTCAATTCCTAAAATAGTAAGTTTCTTTTACGTCAGTAAACATTTCTACAATTTTCGTTTGTGAGGTTCATTAAAAGTTGGACACCACCGGAGAAGTCATTCAAAATACGCCACTGATTACTGGATTGTTCTATTTATGCCCTATCTTATCCTTATAAGTTTATGATACGATAGTATTACATTGTTACTTCAATAAACCGAGTTGCTTTTGCATTTAATATCGCTGTGTAACCGTATGGAGTATTGTTAAATTAATTTTATGCGCAACGTGTGTTAAATATTCGTTAAAAATGGCTGGTGTATTGACGAGATCAAAATGTTTAATTTTTGGAGATGCTAAAGAGCTTAGTAATAATACATTGCCAACTTATGAAGACGTTATGCAATATTATTTGTATATAAAACATCGACTCAAACCCGATATTACTTCAAAAGAACTAAGTATAAATTCTATAGCTAAAATTGTAACATCTAACATAGAAAATATATGGCATAATTCCAATAGTATTACACAACCGAGTGTTACAATTAATTAAAACGTACCATGGCAAGTATCGGAATAAAGTCAGCAAAGGGCAGGGGATATTGTGAGACGTATAAAAAAAAATGGAATATCTCCAAACTGAAATAAGAAGTAGTCTTTTTGACATGGTGGCATGTAAATGTGTTGTTTAGTACATGTATGCGTGAAAAATCTCGAAAAGTTCCAAATATTGAATAAATATTTATTAAAGATCAAAGAACAACCGGACAAATGTTTATATCTTTAATTGACTTTCAACCACAAAAAACTAAAAAGAAAAATATAAGAAAAGAATCTGTATGTTATTCGTTGAAAAAATTGTGTGTTGTTGTCTGTCTGTTCTATTATATTATATACAGTTGTGTAGTATTAGTGTTAAGAGCGAATGGACAATCTGCGGTATCATATCTTAACTGTGAGTATTGAGTTTAGTTTAATTTTTGTATTATTGCATCTTTAACCATTGATTTATAATTGTTTTTTATCTGCATTTAGTTGAGTTATTCAAACATTTTGTGTGTGAAATAAATTTGAATTTAATATCATACCTGCTCGTCGAGGAACGCGTCGTCTGGCATGAGCTCCGTCAAGAACGCGGCCGGCCCCTCGAACCCGAGGACCGGCTGGCGCTCAGGCGGATGGCCATGCACCTGTGGCGGACTCATAGGGCCCGATCGGCTGAACAGGTGGGTGAACCGGACTCACGGTGAGATGACTTATCGTTTCACCCTAGTGATGTCCGGCCACGGCTGCTTTAACGAGTACTTAGACCGTATTCGCAAAGCAGCCGCGCTGACGTGCGACCGCTGTTCGGATCGCTCGGAAGAAGCTGACAGCGCTCTGCACACCCTCTTCCGGTGCGAGACGTGGGCCCAGGAACGGGACTCTTTGGAGTCCCGAATTGGGTCCGCATTCCGAGTCGGATCCATGGTGGACCTGATGTTGGTGAGCCGGGAGGCATGGAAGCTCATCTAGGCGTTCGCTGAATCCGACTTGAAAACGAAGAAGGAAGCGTTAGGCCCGAGACAGAGACAACCACGCCGGCCGGCATAAGAGGGCCTGAGGCGTTGGTTTAGGCCGGTGCCTTAGATTCTTGTTTTTGTGTTATTTGTGTTCTGTGAGTTATTTTGCCAACCCTCCCTAACGGTTCCCACTCTGGGATCCGACTAACGGAAGGAAGCCCCACCACGTTGCGAATCAGCTATTGATTAATTTCGAACTGATTCACATCGTGGTGGTGTGAATTATACAGACGGCGTGGGCCTTCCTGAAGTAATGCCTAACAGCAGTTCTAGGGCGGCCTACAGTAATCCAATCGTAGAATTAAAAAGAAGGCTGAGGGCTTAACGTCATAAGAACTTAAGTTCAATAATTCTAGTCAAATCATTAGGTTTTTTAGATTTATTGTTGTGTATTATTTAAAAATTTATTTTTCTGTTTCTAGTGTATTAAATTGTTTCAAGGTCGATTTCATGCAGTGAATTATACTTCAAATCATTTATTCTTACAAATCGTTAAATTTTTATAGTTACTTAATACTCCAGTTATAGTCATTTTAGCTTCTAAGTTATCANCTCCAGTTATAGTCATTTTAGCTTCTAAGTTATCAATATTTTATATACCTTATCATACTTAAGTTGTCGAAAGAAGCGTAAAATTAGTAACAGAAGCATCTGCAGCTGTATGCGGACAAGTTAGAAGGGATGGTGTTATAAGGGCTAGGATTGAGTTTCGTAGGATTATGCGTCATTTTAATTCCAAAAAATATTTTCAATTAAATTAAGTTAATTTTTTTTACTTATATAAAAATATATACATTACAATAAACCAAAAATATATTAACAACTTTTAAATAATGTTTTTCGTAAATTTCGTACAATTTATATATATATATATATATATGTATGTATTTGAATATGAACTAAGACTTTCTAGTACTATTAGAATTATGCTAAATAAAATTATTCTTTTTTCGTTCCACTCTACTGACTATTGATATTCCTGAAAATATATTTTTTTATAGAGACATACCTATATATATTAAACTAGCTTATAAAATATAAAATGTTAGATCGATAACTGTTAGACCAGTATTTCGGAAGTTATTCTCATTTTCATAACTAGGCATAAGGAAGAGTACGACTGGGAAATGACTAGTAATAAATATAGCAGAATCCACTCTTCATTTTCAGTCATTACTTTAAATTATTAATAACTTGATAAATACTGGTCCAAAATTTGTTATCGACCAGTTATTTTATTAGATAATTTTTTATTTTATCAGCTAGTTAAATATCGTTTGATTTAAAAAAACATATAGTACACAGTCTTATCAGATACTAGGGATAAAAATAAAAATTATTTTATAAAGATAAATTAAAATAAATTTAACTAACAAAAACCGAATTTTTTTGTTTTTTTAAACTTATTATTTTAAGAGAAATTGGGTGGTTNTAAACTTATTATTTTAAGAGAAATTGGGAAATTAAGAGAAAAACGTAAAAATATAATTTTGTACTACATATATTGTTCCTATAGTAACAATTAGAGACTAAGTACTTTTATTTTGATACATAGGTACCTAAGAAATATTTTCTAAAAAAGATATACTTTTTATGGAAGACATTAATAGTATTAGTACAAAAAATGCAAAATTTTTCTAGCATCAAGATGCACCTTTTACAATGTACTAGCATAGCCACTGTATACAGTTATCCAATTATTTCAATAATAAAAATCATGTAGTTTTTCCTTCCTTAGTTTGATGATTTTATCTGTGAACATAGGTATAAAAGCTGAAAAGCAAAGGTCTAAATAAATAAATTTGACTTAACTTTTATTTTAATTTAAAATGTTAAGTACACCTTTTAAAGTACAAATTAATTTATTATAAAAACGTATAAAACATTTATTTATTATTATTATATATTGAATACAATATAATTTTCTACAAATTGAGTTGTTACTAATTGGTAATGCTACAAGTAGTAAAATTATTTTTACTAGAACTGTGATACATATCATAAAAAGTGTCTAATAACAGCAGAGTTTACATTAAATTTCAGCAACTGACTAAATTTTTTTTTGATCCGCATTAATTTTACATGATTAGGTGTTATACAGTAATCATATAATAAAAAGTGTTTATTTTTTATAATTTTATATCCTTATTACAAAAAAAAATAATGCTATGTTCGTTTTACTATGATTAGATTTCAATAATACATTTTGTAAATAACTAACTACATTGACATGTACAATTTTATTTTTACCGTCATAATATACTAGGCAGTACAAATTTCATTTCGAATACTATCTAAACAACTTTTCTCAATCTTTATAAAATTACAAATTAAAAATTATATTCTTAAACAGTAAAAAAACCATTAGTTGGTACAAAACATAGGTGATCCGTAAGAGTTGAATTTTCTATGTTCTAGAATTAAGCTTTTAATTAAATAGTGATTTTTATAATCAATTAATTTATGAAATAACATATATTATGATTAATTTTTTAGATTAGATATGTGGGATTTAAAAAAATTAAACATCGAGTTTCATTCATAGAAAGGTAATATTTATAAAAAGAAAATAATATGAATTGAGAGAACATAACACAGTATACAAATTGTGGGTTGCCTGTTATTAACAGTTTGAATTTTGAAGGAAGTAATGTTTTCATGGCAACATTTTCTGTAGTTTTTTTTTATTATTTAGAAAAAAGGTTTATTATTTCCTCGGTGTAGTTAAATATTAATTGTTAAAATGATTTTGTTTAAATAAGATGTAACAAAGGAGAATATTGAATATACATTTTATCCAAATAAATATAGAGCATGTTCAAAGTTACCATGATAATACTTAATAATTTATTATAGCCTGATATATATTATCTTTTGAGTAAAAAATAGACTCTAGTCTTTCAATTTAATACGAATATAGGTGGTAGTAAGGATAATAATTTCCTCTTGTAATTTTCCATAAGATCTTTTTCCATTTCAGAGATCACAGCCAAACATCAATTATAAACATTAAACAATCTATCAATAACAACAGCATTAAGTCAACTTATATAAATTTAATCAAAAGTCTATTCTTCGTAAAAAAATTTAATCAAACCTCAATATCTAAACATCAGTCTACCGTTTTGCCATGGCAGTAAGTCACGTTTAAAGCTAGTACAATTTATAACTCGTTGTACCTGCCAAGACGCGAAAAGCCATTGAGCACCTCAAACATTCAATAAATCACCATCAATATACATCATTTTGTTATAAAATATTATATACTATACAATAAATTTCTTAAATTTTATCACGCTAATACATTTATACAAACAAAATTATCATGATCTGTGTAAATTAGAAATTCCAAAACTTCTTTTAGACCTTTTAATAGTAACATTTTTGGATTGTTGTTTTTTTACTTAGAGTTATTAAGAAAATAATTTTCGATTGTATTACATTTATTGATTCAATTTATTAAAGTTTTATTTTTATACGCGTTCTAGATCTATCATATAAATATATCAATGATGAGCATTAAATGTCACTATGTAATTGAATAAAACAATAATTCATTTGTTTAATTTTAACAATATCTAATATTAATAAACTATAGTTATGAAAAAAAATAAATCCTAAATTTATTTTCCAACATAATTTTTTTAAATGTATGAGGCCTATGCAACAGTTATATTTAAAACTGTTGCATCTTCAATTTCGGATGTATAAATTTAAAAATAAAATAAAAATATTAATTTTTTTATAAAATACTAAAATTATCAAAAAAATCTATGTTTTTTAAAGTTAACTATTTTGTATTGAAAAATAATATGTGAGGTGTATGTTACAAATTTTGTAATACACATCCACTTTGTTCTTAGGAACTATACATACACTGTTATTCTATTATTATTTTTATATTGTTAATTTCACACAAAATTACAGTATATTGTTAGTTTTAAAAACAAAAGACGTTAATGTAAGACACATATTTACAATCACACTAAATATTTTTATTAGTAATTGATTTTGTTAAAATTTTAACAAATTAATTTAAAAAAAGGGTTTGTTATACTTGGAAATCTTGAAGTCTCCATTGTTTTAAACTTTGAAACTGGATCTTCCAAACATATTTTAATGTACATTAAATGTAAAGTTAAAGGATTTTCGTTAAATTTATTGATTATTTAACAGTTATATTTTAAATGTATAAAAAATTGACTTATTATATTAGAAAACAAAATAATCAAAACATAAGCCAGTTATTCAAATATTTACAATTTACATTACATTTGAATACTCAACACGTATTTGTATTCATTTATAAAAAATGTATTATATTGAAAAGAAAAAATTCAAATTAATTGATGTATATATCAATTATGCACAATAATGTCGGACGGGTTTCAATTTAAATGTTAAAAAATGACAGTAAATACTACTATATGTAGTTACTGTCTTACTATATGTAACAAATGCATTTTAAGTAGAACAGAGAACGTGATAAGATTGCTTCGAGAAAATATGAATAACATTAATTTAAAAAGACGCAGTGATAATATAGAATAATTTATGAAACATATAAAAAATGTTCAGAAAAAAACGTGTTAGGCGATGTAACTGTTTATATTAGAACTTTTTGTATTTAATGATTAAATATACAATAAGTAAATTTGATATATTTTTTTAAAAAATTATTTTTGTAATTCTAGTTCTATCTTTAATTATAAAGAATTTAATATTAATATTTCTTCTATTATACCGAATTTTACTGAGTTTAATATGTTTAACAATGTATTAAATTAGGACAGTTGGCAGTGGGCGTACTGAAAAATTTGGCATTTAAAAATAATTAAAAAGAAAAAAATTACAAATTGGAAGGTAGTATTGTTTGTTATAGTGCTACAAACGCCGTGGCAGTGACATTATAAAATCATTTAGTCAAAATACTGGAAATGGTAATAAAAAACTGGTAATTATAATAATGAGCACAGGCACAAAATGGCAAAACCTGTCCTTTAAATCAATCAGAATCACATAATAAAACCGTGTACCGTATTAACGATTTGATTTTCTGTGTATAGTTATATTACATTCATTGATAACTCGACAATTTTTTGGTTCCTCTATAGGTTGGTTGTTGTTGTTCCGATGAACCTTTGCACATAAGCAAATTTTTATACGCTTGTCGATATTCTGAACTCATTACAACGTAAATTATAGGATTTATACATGTGGTCAAGTATATTAAAACATATGCGGTAATGTTCAACGAATGTAAGTCGTCCAGCTCGTGCAGAGTTTTGCTTACAGTGATGGGTAGATAACATGTAACAAACGACACGAAAATCACCAGGATCATCTTTAGCAGCTTTTTATCTTTAGACGACATCTTATCCACTCCGACAGTACTCTGTTTTCGAGTTCTAGGGGAATCTTCTTTTGTTTGAAACACCTGCGCAAAAACATACATAATTTATGAGGCATTATTTTATAATTTTAAAGTGTTTAAATTGAAAAACGTATTTATATAAGTTTTTCCAGTTAGTCAGAGTAAAGTTGGTAACATGTGCGAAAAACAAAGATGGATTTATTATGGTTACAAGGTAGATGTTCTTTAGTGACAGATATTCGCATGATTAATTGAATTGTGACAGTTCATATAGGATTAAACTAAAGGAAAGTATAAGAGCAGTATAGGAAGGTGCACATGTATTATTATTAATGGTTACTCGAAAATCTGACCTAGATTATAAACCGTAAACTGTAACTAAACGAATTATAACATTTTGAGTATAGTCTTGTAAATGTCAAGTTTACTGATGTTTAAAGTAAAATTTAATTGTTAAATCTTCTAAAAAATTATTTCATTAGCTGTTTGCATAATTCGAGGCAAAAATATAAATATTTATAACTATTAGTTTTTATGACAAATTTTATGTTTTAATAGTTATATAATCCAATTATATTGCATTTAAATTTTTCAAAAGTTTTGGATAAGTTAACCATAAATTTAATATACGTTAATTATAAATTTTATAAAAAACAGATAATATTAAAAAAATATATGTTAACTCAAATTGTTATGGATATGTCTTTTTAAATGCTTAACACTTTTTGTTATTATAATAAAAATTGATCACTTGTGTCTAACTAATTAAGTAAAATTAAAACTATATTAAAAACATTATTAATTTAAAAACTAAAAAATATTAAACTCAAAAGCCACAAAAATTTAATGAAAAGTGTATGTGTTTAGCGTTGATAATGTTAACATTGTTTCCGAAATACGTATCCGCGACTTTTCAGTAACTTTTTGTGGCTTTTGAGTTAAATATTTTTAATATTTTTTATTTTTAAAATTAATAATATTTTAATATAGTTATAATTTTACTTACTTATTGATATTAATTAAAATTAATTTTTCAACTCTTTTCACAGCTAAGTCTTCATACCTATTCACTATATAGTACTCAAGCAATTAACAAAAATAGGAAAATAATATTTGCTCAATACTAACTGTTCACAAGTTTTATAAATGTACTTTGAGAATTATTTACTATTTATTTTTTAAGTTATTTGTAAAAAAAATATAAAATAATTTACTCGATTATCTTTTAAATGAATTATATCGCTAATCATTACACGCTACCTAACACGTAACTTAGAATATTTTATGTATATAATGAATCAATTTGTTCAATAACAAATAATAAAAAAATGATAATTGATTTTTTATATCAGTAAAATGACACGATAAAAAAATAACAATGTCTAAACATTGTGAGTGTTTATTATACAAATATTTTAAATGTATTCTAAAAAAAACTCAAGTCTAATGTATTTATTACTAGTTATAATTGTAAAAAAACAAATTAATAGTTTACTACTAACACTAATTAATACATAACAAAAATAAAAAACTATTGCACAGTTTAAAATTTGAAAAATTTTGATAATTGACTACGGCCAAGTTATAAGGAAATTTTTATTCATTTCACAATAATATCAAATTATATTTCGATTTAGATTTCACAATTCTATCAAAAAGGGAAAATGAAACTTTTCCGGTAACTTCTCGTTACTACTACTCGCTTTAAGTTTTTTGTTAGCACTTTTCGTTGAGGCTTCTTGTTTCTTTTTATAAATATTTAAGATTTTTGATATTACTTCTTTGTTTGATAGTATCAAAACATAATCGAGCAACTTCAAAATTTTTTATTTAAAACTACTTATGGTTGCCCATCCAACGATTTTTTTCGTCAGTCATTAACAGTCATTAGGTGTTTGCCAAACGTGTTACTTTCCCAGCATTTCAATAGAGTGTTAGTATTTAAGAAGGCTAGAAGAAATGTCAAATGTGGGCTTTAATTTCCTTAAATAAAGAACTTTTCGTGAATTGCACAGTCGTGGAAAACATATTTATTTTCACATCGTCAAAAACGTTTTTCCTGGAGCCAACTTAGTGTACTATACATTTTCAAGCTTTATGAGCCTCAAACATCGGAATGTATTGTCTGTAGTTAAATCGAATTTTAAGAAAAACTATTCATGGTCCGACGAAATACACATTAAAGCTGTCGTAGGGGATGTCATTCTGGAATAAATGAAATCATTCAGTAACTTCCTGAATGGAATAACATCCTTAATAGTTACCAGTTGCTCAAAGATAATTGGAATAGATGGCAACTTTTCAATGTCATAAGATCTTGAATTTTACAAATGTGTCATCTGTTTTGTAGCTCGGTGGAAATACTCAAACTTCTTTAACAAAAACGATGGCTTTTGATAAAACAACGTAAATTTCTAGTTCCATTTAACACGTTTTTTTTAGTGTTTTACGCAAGATAAAGTCATTATGGGACATCTTGAGTGTTAATTAAGAATGTAAAACGGTAGTAAGATAATATTTTTTAATAAGTTATAAAATGAATAGTGTTATGATCAATAAAATAAACAAATATTTTCACATAGTATTTTCACCATATTTAATTCAGCTGTATTTTTTATAAACTATAGATAAAAAATATTCAATATTATAAAAATATTAAGATCTTATTATTATTGACCATATAAACAGGTATTGATAGTATAACAATTTATTTATAAATTGTTAGTATAAATTGATAGTATAACACTTATAAGGGAAATGGGTACAATTAAAATACATTAAATAATAATTAAAAGTTTTGAAAAAAAAACTTTACTACATGAAATATTAGATTTATTAAATACGCATGCAAAAATTCTTAGGATAATAAATATTTTATTGTTATTAAATAATTTTTATATTGCAAATATAAAAAGCTAGACGTAATTAAAATACGATTTTATACATGATTGAAAACATTAAAAGAATAAAATATACTCAACTCTATAAAGGTGGGTATATTTAGCAATCATTTTTACTTAATTATAAATTAAGTTAAACCACAAAGACAACTTTTGAATGAATATAAAAAAATATAAATTCCTATCAAAAATAAACAATTTTAACGTTTTTTTCTATGATTTTTAAAACAATATTTATCTATTATAAATATATAGGCACCATAATCTGAACGTATTTAGACATTTTATATAAGAGGTAAATGGTGGAGAGATTCACCACTACTATTATTTTATGTCTATGGAGAGAGGAGGTCCGAATTTAATGAGTGCCTCCCATAAATACGTCTCTGTAGACGGGTTTTGGAGCAGTTTAATCTTACTTTAAATATGAGATTTATATTAATATTTTATGTATTTTAGAAGATAATTCTGAATTAAAAAAATTCTTATTAGCTAATATCTTTAATTAAATACAATTCATGATTTTTTTATGTATCGTTGATCAAAATGAACGAAAAGCTAAGAAAAAGTAGTATAGTATAACATATAGTAATTTTCATAAAATTAAAACACTTAGTAAGACCAATGTTTTCTCAGCTATGCATCGAAGCTAAAAATTGTATTTACTTACCGCAGAGACGACTTGGGTGATTGTAGCGTTTAGTGCAGATGACGGCGACCTATCTCGTCGTGATCGTCTTCTATCTGTAAATGAAAGAGGTGAGTAGGTATTTTCAACTGCCGACGAACAATGGTCTACGAGGATATCATGAGGAGACAGTAGATGATGATCCTTAGAATCCCCCCCAATTGAACACGAGCCTGTTGCAGTACTCGATCCAATAGCCGAGTCTGTAGAAATTTCGGGTATTTTGATACGCGTCTTTAAAGTATAATAAGTAGAAGATGAATCTGGTTGTTTTGATGAAGACATCATAATGTTCCGTGGAGTAGTAATTACTGTTGTTCTAGACCTCAAAGCTGTTTTTCTTACGATATAGAATATCCTTGCGTAGCACACTATTATGGATACACAGGGTACTATAAATGCTCCAGTGAATAATATCTCTTTGGGTGACCTGCCCAAGGAGTCTGGCAGTATTGTACAAGAGCCGACCGTCACGTCCAATCCGAATCGACCCCATTTTCCTAACCACGTGGGTACCAAAGCACCAAAGCCGCCTACCCACGTAACCGTCACCATTACACCCAAGTAAAACTTTTTATAAAGCCTAAAAAAAAAAAATGAAAAAAATATTTTCAATTTAATCATTGTATATTTTTTAATAAAAATAGTTACTAGATAGTTATTAAATAAAAAGTCATTGTATGCAATAATTTCAAAATTTTAATTAATTATTACTTATTAAATAATAATGTTGACAAATAATTATGTAGGAATTTAAACACTTAACTATTTGTTGTATTATTTCAACTATGGTTAAAATACATTAATTTTAAGTTTTTAATGATCACATTCTTTAACGAACGTGTTTTTATAGGCGAATTGTTATTCTGATCTGACACACAACATTTTAAATTGTAAGAGTTTTTTCGGGTAATTCGCTTAAATAGTCGATAGTATTGCATATTTAAATATACCTGACTACTATGTATATCCTTTTAACTTTCACGTACTATTTTAGTTTCTATACGCTTACTTTATTTCAATGGCCTTATAACCAAGATGTCTTAAAAGAAATTTTTCCGAAACGAATTTGTGCGACACAAACAAACGATATATATATATATATAAAGATTATTTTAAATCTTCCTACAAACCTAATTATTTTTATAAAGTAAATTCGATTCATTCGCAGAGTATTAAATTCATTAACTTTGGCAAAGTTTCTTAGTTTTACTTATTAAGAAATTTAGTTGTTATTACAACTATATTATAAATTATTGTTCTTTGGTTTTACAGACTGGTAGATAATATAATTAACTTACTCTTTTAAAGGTCTGACAAAAGATTAGATTTAGGTTTAGACTATGGTGCTATCTATAATACAATTTTTCGAAATCTTCTAAGATACAGCTATTTTTTTATTCTAACTCATATAAAAATAAATTCTGAAAAATTTAATTGTAGGCCATAACTATTTATACGTGTTCATTTAAGATTTATATTCAAATAGTACCTTTATGCATAACAAATAGTATAAATAATAATATTAATTCTACAATACAAATTCCAATTATAAAACTTAACATAATCAAGCCCTAGTTTCCTGTAACACAATTTTTTTCTATTCTTATATCTTTATAATATTTTACACTAACAAATTCGTTTAGAAACTATAAAAATATGTACACGTTAAAAAACTATAAAAAATAGAAAAGCAATAAAAATATAAATCTTTTAGGAAGTAATAGAAATGAAAAAAATATTGAAAATCCATAGAAGTGCGCATATTAAGAAGCCATAGAAATCCAACATTTTTAAGAAGCCATAGAAATGCAAAACTTTTAAGAAGCCACAGAAATGCAAAAATTTAAAGAAGCCATAGAAACGCAAAATTTTTAAGAAGCCATAGAAATGCAAAACTTTTAAGAAGCCATAGAAATGCAAACATTTTAAGAAGCCGTAGAAACGTATAAACATCGAGAAGCCATAGAAACGCAAAATTTTTAAGAAGCCATAGAAATTCAACATTTTTAAGAAGCCATAGAAATGCAAAACTTTTAAGAAGCCACAGAAATGCAAAAATTTAAAGAAGCCATAGAAACGCAAACATTTTAAGAAGCCGTAGAAACGTATAAACATCGAGAAGCCATAGAAACGCAAAATTTTTAAGAAGCCATAAAAATCCAACATTTTTAAGAAGCCATAGAAATGCAAAACTTTTAAGAAGCCACAGAAATGCAAAAATTTAAAGAAGCCATAGAAACGCAAACATTTTAAGAAGCCGTAGAAACGTATAAACATCGAGAAGCCATAGAAACGCAAAATTTTTAAGAAGCCATAAAAATCCAACATTTTTAAGAAGCCATAGAAATCCAACATTTTTAAGAAGCCATAGAAATGCAAAACTTTTAAGAAGCCACAGAAATGCAAAAATTTTTAAGAAGCCATAGAAATCCAAAATTTTTAAGAAGCCATAGAAATGCAAAAATTTTAAGAAGCCATAGAAATGTATAAACATCGAGAAGCCATAGAAATGAAAAAATAATGGGAAATCAGAAATGCAAAATAATAATATAATACTTAGACTTATTAGTAATACGAATATATTGATAATATGACCATGAAATAATAGGTAAAGTTAACATGACTTTAAAAATCTACGGATTAATCAAGGCATATAAATTTTTATCATACAATTTTACTTTGAACGGTTTTAGGTTTGATCTCAAGTCATCAAGAATAAATATTATCAAATTAGTAAAATAATTTAAAGAGATATTTTTATTCTAGTTACAATAAAAATGTTTTTTACAATAACAAACCTAGTACACACTTCCCAAATCATAATTTTTTGTTTAACATCTTCAAATAATTATTTAGTAATACAATTATCCTGTAACTCTGATTGTATTTAAAACAGTCTAATTATTTATCCTCTAACTCTATTTAATTTTAAACATCGTATTATCAATTTGTATGATTTTATATGTTCATAATTCATTAGGGTTTTCAAATACATACTTTGGATATAGTGTCGGATGACCAATCATGATGTATCGATTGATTGTTATAGCTAAAATGGTAAAAAGTGAAACAGCCAGAAGTCCGTATCTAACTAACGGAAACAATCGGCACAATAAATGACCGTGTATCCATGATCTATACCAGAATGTAGATGCTGCAAGTGGTAGATTAAAACAGCAAAAACTCAAATCGGATACACTTAAATTAATTATAAAGACGGCAGTTGCGTTTCGAACCTGTAACAATAAAAATATATACAATTAATTTTATAATTGAACATTTTTTGACTTATTTTATTTTAGACAAAATATTATATATTTTCATTTATATTATATGAATCAAAATGTATTAAAACATGAAGCAGAAAAATAGCTATAGCTTCAATGCGAAGCTGAGAAGGTTTTATTTATTTTATTTTGTTTTATAGTGTTAAACAAAAAAACTCTTTTTTGACATATCTAATGAGGTACATGTTATTATTTAATAAATTATCAAAGAATTAAGTTTATATTACATAATTTAAAATATTTTGAACTTGTTTAGTAATAAAATCAAGATAAACACATACAAATTAGAATTTTTTTTTTTGTTGCATCTGTTTTTCTTGAAAAATAAAAAACGTACGATAAAAATATTTCTTTGGCGTGAATAAAAATTTCATCATTTACAATGTTTAATATAAGAAAACGATATTAGCAGAATAAAGGTTGATGAAATAAAAAAACATGTTAGAAAAAGCATATGCGTGTATTCTATCAATCACTTGCCGTTATACTGGTTTCAATAGTGAACCTTTAAAAAGCCTTATAGCCTAAATTTGGCATAAAACCATTGCTTATACTCATTTTTCACTTTTTTTTTTTTTTTAGATACAATGGGCTGGAACATAATACATATTGGTGTTTTTGTGCTAACCAAAGTACACCATCCTGATTCAGATAATAAAATACATTTTTGCAAAATAATGTATTGTGGATACCCATGTAATGATGTAGCAGAATTCACTTCATTAAATATTACTTATTCAGTTATTATAATCTGATTTGTGTCATGCTTTTATTTATTCATTGAAAATGAATTAAAAACAGGAAAGTACTAATATTTGTTTTTAAATTAAAATCCAGTTAATTAGCTTTTAACAAGTATTTTCAATATACTTCGATTTAAAATTAGATGATTCATTATTTTGTATTGACAACTTGTAAAACATTGCAGATATTAATTAAAATCATAGAAAAAATTACAAGACTTTTATTGTTGAACATATTATTCTTATAATAAATTTAAAATTATACTTTAAAGATAAAATTAAAAATAAAATATAGTCTTAATCCGCAAATTGACCGCCACAGAGAGTCGTTTTGTTGATTACAACCCTTAAAAGTCAATGCATAAATACTTCGATTTATTTAAAATGAATGCATTATTTTTTAGATTTCCGATTTTAATGGAACTAATATTGGGACGATAATTTATTGACAATAAAACAAATGAATCCTGTTGAATTTTTAGTGAGAAAATTTACCGTTAATATTGATTTCATTTAAAACCTTGACAGTCTAAGTCAATTATAGTTCAAATTAATTAATTGAAAGCTGCCATACAAATTCATATAAATAGAGTACTAATTGATTAAAAATATTCGTAATTCCAACCCGGTGGCGAGTGGGATTGAGTGATAATTGTAAATGACAAATAAAAAAAAAAAATACTTGGGTATACAGTTAATAGGCTAAATGCCACACATAAATATTCCACTTTTTTTTTTCCCATTAGACTGTTTTGTGTATTCGCTACTCGTGCTCGACTGCGGACCAATAAAAGGATGGACAAGGAGCCTATGGCAGAGTGAAAAAATTCAAGGACAGAATAATAAATAAAACACAAGCGTAAAATTGTAAATCACAATTTAATATATGTGTATATCTAATATTGTGTATACACAACTGTTAAAATTATTTTGGTCGATGGTCATTTTGTAATATTGTCACGTTCCATCGTTTTTCAGTACAAACAACGAATTTAACGCGAAATCTTTCCATTTTGTCGTCCAAACCAAAACGGTTTATGTACACAGAAATAATAAAAATAATGATAATATGTACCAACGTTATTGTTTGCTTGCGGCTAAGGCTCGTCGAAAATCACAATGAAAAAATCTCTGTAAACACAACGTTAGATACAAACGCTCCCTTGGTACTAGTGTCCGAGTGGTCAAAATCGACAAAAGCAAACTGAAAGGAAATTGTTTTATTTAGAGGATATGTAATAGTGCACAATGTCGTAGAAAACCATCAATGGGTGTTAGAGATGTTTTTCATTTAATAGTTTGTGATTATTCTTCATGCAGTGTAATCTAATTATTCATTTTGAAGAACCGAGTTTTCAGAATAAAATGAATGGTCGAAGCCTATTGTTACTATAGATTCAATCGGTTAATCCAATGTTTATTAACAATCTAGAATTTAGTTGCAATGTAAATGATTATTAAATTTATTAGTGTAAATCTATCATTCAAATGTTTTATAAATAAACGACGTTGTACATATAAATTATCAATTGGAATGCCCTTTTTTATATACAAAATTTTCTCTGTTGCTATAAGAAGGTTTGGGTTTGTTTTGTTTTGATATAATAAAACTTTTAATAAATGTTTTTTTAAATTTCGTTTTATTGTTCTATTGAAATTTTAAAGGTACTTAAAGTTTTCTTTTAAACTTGCTTAATCAAATTCTATTGTTATCGTTGAGTTTTGGAACTATGAAAATATTTTATTAAAAAAGTTTGATTTTTACGTATCTGATTTTGAAGTTAATTTTGAAGCGCCGTCAAATGGGCAAACTTGGGATGGTGATTAATCTTTGAGCAGTTAAATATCTATTATCAATTATATCTACAACACTAGTGAAATGTTTACAAGTGTACATAAGAAACACGAAATTTCTGTTAATAAAACATTTTTATTAACAGATTCAAAACTTCATTTAATGAAGTTTTAAATCTGTAAAATATGTAACCAAGTTGGTTCATTTGACGGTACCACAATTGATATATCCAATATTAAAGCAAATTTCAGATGTTGAACCATTCTATGAGTTTAATGTATTTAAGTTTTTCTAAGAAAATCTAACCAATAGCAAGTTTTTAATGGTAAAACGTACAAATAAAGTAATGGGTATCTTTTGTTAAACTAGATGTAAATTGATCAGTTGGCAATAAATGACTGTTGTACAAAAATTAAAACTTCAGAACGCCGATTGGCTGCAAAACATATTTCAAGCAAGTGCAGTTTTTGTTGGAGATTCAATCTGGTTTCTTTGAACTTATCATTATTTAATGGCAAAATAACATTAACAAATAAAAAAAGAGTTATTTAAATGGGTCGTGTTCTGAATAGTAATTTTGGTGGCGACTATGTTAAGTTTAAATATGTAATTTTTTATCAAATCTTATGTTTAGAAATAATCAAATTAAAAATTATGTCATTATAAAAAAAATAATAAGAACATAACTTTCCGGTAGTAAAAATTATCTGTCATTGAATAATATTTCAAGTTTTGGGTTAAAAAATAATTTGAAAATATGTATAAATATTTGTATGATAATAACAAAGATACTACTAATAACGGCTAGTTATTAAGTTCAGTAAAAGTATAAATAGAATTAAAAAGATAAAAAAAAATCGTTAAATTTATCAAACAAAATACAAAAAGATAATCCTCACAGAACCTGTTTTATTACCGAATATTTTCATTTTATGGGCTTTTTCATTAAGCGTAAATTAGTTTTTTTTTATCGTCATTGTGTTGCTAGTTGCCAAATTTTATAATAGGAGCAGTAATTCAAAAACACGATTATTGTGCAACATAAAATAAAGTCTGAATAAGTCGTACTTTTTATACAGTAAAATTGATAAAATAGTATTTTCTTTAAGAAGGGCAAACATAATCTTGCTTAAAAAAAATATTTGTATACAATAAAATACAAAGATAAAAATAGAAGTTTACTTTATTATTTTATATCCAGTAAAATGGTCTTCTATTTATTTTCATAACTCCTCAAGAACGACGTTTTAATTGAGAAATTATAATAAAATAAACTCGATAAGCATGCACATTTAATTAAAACTCGAATTATAAAATGAAATTAGATTATTATTTTTAAGTAAATATTTTATAAGGCCTTAATTTTCATTCCACTCCAAAACAATATCTACTTAGGTATATTTATTTAATAACAGTAATCTAATAGTTTTTAACGTAAAATTTCTGAAGTGAAAGTAATTTTATTTAATTTACTCCGAAAATTTGAATAATAGCCCAAGCGATAAATTGTACTTTTTTTTTAGATTGTAGATTTTTTTAAATTAGGACGACATAACACATAAAACTATACATTTATTTTGTAATTCATAGGCAGACGAATGAAATATTTGAAATCTCTAAGCTACTGATTCGACTACATTATGTAAAATTAAATTTGTTATAAAGCTGATAATCATTTGATATGCTCATACGGGATAAATAACCTCAATGAAGTGTTGAACTAATCAGTGGCATATTTAAGCATTTTAATAAGGTTTCCTTATTAATCGAACTCGACCCTTTCACTACCACCGCTATTATGATTTTATGTCCATGGGGCCCGGATTGCGTGAACCTCTCCCCATAAATACTCAATTGATACTAATTAATCCATTTCACGTCCTTCTATTTCCCGAACTTGACATACTACAGAGGGCGATGAACCTCTTTCACATGTTAGCTAGTCAAATATTGTTCTTGACTACACCAATGATGGATGGGGCGGATATTATGACTGGCTTGCACCAAAGACCAGACACGATCAATGAGAAAATTACAAGAAAAATCTCGTTGGCACCCTGGAGATCAAACGCCGTGCGCCGAAACATACGTTTCTATCCACTAGGCCAGTCCGACCCCTTATAGTTAAAATTAGTGTACTAATTGAATTTCAAATAATGTATGATAATTATTTGTTGAACAGTGTAATTTCAATTCATGTTCTAAAACTTTGTAATTGAGTATCTATCAAAAGAAAAAATTATTGAAATATGATTTATGATAAAATTTTCAATTAAAAATGTACTTAATTTTAAGAGTGTTTATGATTAAAAAAACCCAGAGCTTAATTTAGTTATGAGTTGTTCTGTTGCAACACTTTGTATGTTTAAAAATATGTTTATTCAACCTCTACCCTCATCTCTAGACTTGCT